GCTCGGTGACAATACGCCCACATCTGCATCTTCCCTTGCTAGACATCACTCGTCATGGAGAGATACAGTCAATTCCGCGACAAAGGTACGTTTGAGTAATCCCTCCGCGATTGCGCCAGAGTGCCACCGGTTCTCAAACCCCGTTACTACACGTCGCCGTTTCCCGCCCGCGACATGTACCCACTACCTGTCGTTCGCAACACAAAAGCAAGTCCATAGCTAACTATGTATATGCAGGTACGGCTATAGCGCCATTCCTCCCTGTCCCTCCCCCACCGGTCGGCATCACCTGGCAGCCGTTATACTTCTTCCTCTTCTGCGTGCGCGCACCCTTCTTCGTCGCCTTCTCACTACTATACTTCTGCATTCTCGAATGGATCTCCGTGGGTAGAAGATTGAAGTATGGGGTGCTGTGGCTGATGCTGGGCATCCCTGGCGTGTGGTGGGTGGACTTACAGGTTGACGGTGTCAAGAGAGGGTATGTCAAATTGTTAGCAGCGATTGAAGTCTCGAAGCTCAATGCGACGAACTATTGCTAACACATCCCATAGACAGCTACATTCTGCGAAAGACAACCTCCCCAAAGCCGGCACAATCATCGCGTCCTCCTTCACGTCACCGCTCGACCCGCTCTACCTCGCCGGCATCTTCCAGCCCATCTTCACGCGCTCGTACCCCCACCACCGCAAAGTCGAACGCATAACCCTCTTCCGCGCGATAGTACACGCGTTCTCTCCGCCCGTCCTCTCTCCACCAGACGCCTCAAAGCTCGTCTCCCTCCAACAACTCACCGACGAGAACCCAAGCAGGATAATCTGCGTATTCCCAGAAACAACTACAACAAACGGCAGGGGCATCCTCCCACTATGCCCCAGTCTGCTGAGCGCAGACGGCAAGACCAAGATCTACCCCGTCAACCTCCGCTACACACCCCAGGACGTCACAACTCCCGTTCCCGGCGGCTACCCCTCCTGGTTCTGGGGCCTCCTCAGCAAACCGTCCCACCAAATGCGCGTCCGCATCGCTTCGCGCGTATACAACAGTAGCAACCAGGACTCGCCGTCTCGCTCTACATCGAATTCGAAACAGAACTCTGTCAAGGCCTCGGGTTACGACGCGAATATCTTCGACCAACCGGACTTCAGGAATGGGTTCAGTGGCAAGCATGGGGAGGCGGGTGATGGCATGGATGTCGATGTTGGTGATCAGGCCAATGGCGATGATGGCGTTGTGAGTGAGAAGGAACAACAGGTCCTTGAGAGGGTTGCGGAGGATTTGGCGAGGTTGGGCAGGGTCAAGAGGGTTGGATTGGGGGTAGAAGAGAAGGTGGAGTTTTTGAAGGTTTGGGGGAGGAGGAAACGGTAGGTGGGGGTATGGGATGGGAGGTAGAGAAGGTGGCGGAGGAAAGAGAGAATAGTTCGATGTAGAACTCTGAGAGTAGGCCATGGCTTTATGCCCATTTTGTAGCACTGCATTTCGTGTTGCGGGCGCATTATTTGAATACACACCTTTAGTGTTAGTACACCTTATAATTCCGTCGCATCCTTTGGCTTCTTCCCTGCGATGTGATTTGCATTCAGATGAAGTCAATAATTTAGAACTCAACGTATGGGTAGAGAACGCACCTCAAAACAGTTCTTTGGTCAGGCTAGTACACAGAGTCTGGGGTCTTTGATGCTAGTTCAGGTCGACATTTCGGGTTGCTGAGTGTTACTCCTTAGGCACCTGAGCTCTAGTCATATATTCTTCAAAGAAAGACATCTTAGTTACTACGGGAGAAACTGTAAGTAGTGTGGAATGCTGAGCTTGGAGACCCTGTCCTGTGTTTATCAATTCTGCCTTCCCTGCCACTCCGCCACTTCTGCTCGTCATGAATAGCGTTGCGGATACGTTGATTGCTGAGATTCCTGCGGCTTTGTTCTCGCTTTGCGACAGGCTCAAGATAAGTCGAAAAGTTTTCGAAATGTCTCAAGCCGTGATGTGTGATGTAGACGTCTTTGCTGGCCGATTATGCGATATCTTCTCAATCTTGGTTAGACGATCTCGATGTCTTCGAACGGGCGATCCATAAATGGTAGCAATGCTCTGACTTCTCCAGCTCGAAATCGGCCGACTCGAACGTATCGCGCGCCATTGTCGATGGGGTGTATGAGCAGCCCGTATGCGTTACGGTTGCTCGGTGTCTCGCACGCTTGCACGCTTTCTTTAGTCATGTTGCCGTTTTGCTCGTAATCTAATATGCTCGAAGATCCACTACTTGGCTTCCATCTTTCTGAATTAAAGTAGTCAATGGGCCCGTAGTTACTCGCTAGGAGCAAGAGAGAAACTCCTGTTTCTTCCAGCTCTTGGATTAGACAATCAGATTTCCAGTCGAAGTGACAGTAGGCAATACAGGAGCCGTGCGTGACGAGCAACAGTCCGTACTCACCTTTCTTCCAATGGATGTCTTGCTTGATAATCTTGCCACTTATCTTCAATTTGCTGCTTCTAAGACGTCCATAGGGATTGGCATCCATACACTCGGTTATGCATGTAGGTTCTAGGTAACGACACTCCGAACGGAAGTCTACCTCTCGTTCCCAGTCTCGTGACGGATGCTTAGACCTTGTTGAGTTGAATTCCCGAAAATGAATATCGTGGCAATGAGTCCAGCTCCACGAGGGACCAATATATGTATTTGGAGATCCGACGTCGAGCAGTTCCAAGAGTGCCTCTCTGGTGGGGCCGCTATCTGTGTAGACGATGTGCCAAAGTAGCTCTCCAAGTAATGACTCTTTCCACAACCCAGCAACGTACACCCATTTGGTTGCTTCAGCCACTAGCTTGGCCAGTCCTGCTATCGCAGGAAAGCGATCTGTTGACTTGGTACTCTGACGGTGAACGTATGAGCTCACAAGTCTGTGCCATTCTATGCGAATGTATTCGTCAGGCCACCCTTCCTTGTATCGCAGCAATTTATGAGAGAAAATTGATGCAGAATTTAACGAACCATGCTCCATCTCAGTCATCACTTGCATTGGGCACGGGAGATTGAGTATTGGGCACGAGAAATGGACTCGCCGAGCTCCAAAGCAAAGTAACCTCTGTGACATCTCTTCTTCTTGAAGCGTCCAAGCGCGGAGGAACCACGCACCACAAGCGATATCTGCGTCACGTGCGGTAAGGGGAGGCTTGATAGCTGTGACAAGTGGGCGGCGCTGAGGGCGCAGATTGAGACGTCCGTGTATATCAGGCTGTAGCGAGGATTGGAAGGCAACGCTAACCGAATCGGCAGGTCGATTAAGGAAGCTGTCCAGACAGGAGGAAGTTGATATAGCGCAGATTGTGATGAATGCGTTCGCATAGATGGACCCCATACGCTCCGCCTCGTGCGCCCAGTCTCCAAGGTCATCTTGGATAATGCATAGCGCATCAATCCAGATATACCTGATTGATAGCACTCGTGCTGTTGTGACCATGTCTTGCATGACGGGCGTCATCTCGTCGAAGTGAATACTATCGAGACGTTGAGACAAGGTTGCTGATGTAGTCGTAATTTGTCGTGCAGCTTGATGTTTTGTACCCCAGCAATAGCTAAGCGTTGCATAGAGACCTGGGGGCTGCATCTGCGTGTCTCGAGTTTCTATCAGACGGATGGTCGCTCCCTGGCCACCGCCTCCAAGGTCGATAAGGCGAGCTGGCAGGAGATTTGATGTCGAGTTCGACCTGCACTCGGTGCTAGATTGCCTCAAAGCTCGCTTCATCCAAGCGACATTTTCTTTACATAATGGTTGCGTCTGTGGGGCAAGTGCTGTTTTCAGCCATCTCTGACAACCGCCTGATACGATCAGTAAGAACTTTCGAATTATCTGGTTGACTATCACCTTCGTCGCAGTCGACGTAGAAAACGAATGTATGGTTGGATAATGTCCCAAACTCGATATGTTCCAATTGCCACCTCGCGACGAGCGTGCAAAGCCCGTATTGTGGTATAGTTCTGGGATACCAGAGGTAACATAGTTTGAATGTCACCTGAACAGGTCTCGTAAAGCCCAGTTCAAGTGCTGTACTGCGCAGTATGGCGCAGAACGCACACCCTGCTTCAGCTGAGGCTTTTAAGCAAGGCAACTCCGGCAAACTGTCGCGATGTATGTAGTCCAGCCATAGTTCCCGACACGGTTCGTAGGGATTATTCCCATCGGTAAAACTCAGGATTTCTTGTCCATCATGGCTCTGAGCCTTGCGCCCACCTAGTTCTTTATCGTTGAAGCGCAAGACGGAGCATTTATCGCAGAGTGGCGACTCATGGACGTTGCTTATATCCGCCATGGCGGTCGGCCAGAGGGTTTCAGTGTAATCAGCTCGAAAGGCTCATAAAAGAGGCGGCTCCAGAGTTTTGTCCGTAAAGCAAGGACGAGAAGAGGAGAGAGAAGAGGAGAAAGAAGAGGAGAGAGATTCTGGCGCCCAGGCTGAAGATAAGCAAGCAAGCCTGACTTTGAGGCGCGGGGTTGTAAGCCATCACATGCGCAGACACGACTGAACAGCTTTATCGGGAACGCATAGAGCAACTTTGTATCTGACTACGCGTCGCTCTCGGGGGACGAAGAGCATGCGTTAGGTGTTTGGGCGTCGAGCTGATGACGTCTGCTTGCCAACGTCTAATTGTTGACATCGTGCCGTGTTGAGTTGATTTAGATTGGAGCAAGGGATACCTTCGATGACACTCCGGACACCGAGGTTGGCGTAATGGACGCTGGGATTCACCTAATGCAGGACGTTCAAGTCGTTGGGATGCAGGTGGGCGTTGCTCTCGCTGCGTCGGCTAACCGAAACTAGCATGCGATGACAGGGATCGCGCCTTCCTCTGTTTACCGTCCGAGCGCAGGCCCAAACAATCGATATCCGACATCCGCAACACCAACGTCAACGACAACGACGACGCGCTTGTGCTTTTGGCCGCGCCGGGGTATGCTTTACTGTTATCTTTCCCTTCGCTAGACGTAGGTACATACGACTTAATGATGGAGACTGCCAACGAGAACACTGTACGTATCCGCATCCCTTGCCCGGCTCGAGTCTAATCTCACGACCATTGTAGGGTATCGCGAAGCGCTCGGGCATCAAACCGCCGTCTACCTTCTCCCACATCACCTCGCCGCCTCCTAAAGCCCTGGGCGAATTGCACGAAGCCGGCGCGAACGCACGTAGTGGAATGCCGATACCCACGGCGAAACACAAGCCCTCCGGCTGTAAACTGCCCCTCTTCATACCAGTCGCACCGGACAGGTCGCTAACTCTCCCAGTACCCGAGCCTGCATTCAAGCAACGGAAGACGCTTGCAGAGCAAGCCGGCGAGCCGATTTCTCGAAGAATACCCCCGCCGCCCAAGACGTCGAATGGCATCAAAGGTACCCTGGCACGTGGACTCGCAGCATCCACGTCGCGCGCTACTTCGAAACCGACAGCGAGACACCCTGCCGCCTCCACGCTCAGTGGCAGTGTTGGTGGAGCTCCCAAGACTACCGGGGCTGCGAGGCCAAAGTCAGCCTACGGTCACGGAAGCCATGTTCGGAGCAAGTCCTACCAGCAAGGGCCGCGTCCGGCCACAGCAATGCTGAGCAGAGATGACGACGACGACAGTGAGCAAGCAGAGCGCAAAGGTGTGCAACCATTTCTTATGTCTACGAACCCCTACCCCAGTGCAAGAGTGCCTGGTGGCATGCTTCCTCAATTGAAGAAGCGCACAGCCTCCCTCAGTGTATCCGAACAGAGAATCGCTCGTGTGTCAGGTCCGCGAGCAGTCTCATCTCCTTCCCACTTCCGCCCCGTCACTCCGGTCATCGAAGAACCCGCCGACACCGACTGCGACGACATCTGCACTGCGGTTGGCGCGCTCACATTGGGCGCGGCCAAGGCAGACGTGCGTGGCAGTCAGGTCGGATGTGGTATGACTTCTGACAACGGGACGAATCCTTTCCTGAAGCCAAAGATACCCCAGTCCCATCTTCCCCAGCCTACACCTACGCCTGTTCGGCAGCAGCAGGTAGACCCGTCACCGTATCGACCTCCATCTACGCCGCGCAGATCAGCACAAGCACCTTTTCTGAATCGCTTCACTAACGATCGCTGCCCAGACTTTTACAACGACCGCATGGAGGCTATGGAACGCGATTTCCGCATGTTCAAGGAGAAGATGGAAACAGACGTGCGACAGGCTACTGACTACAAGGAGTCGATCCAACAACTTCAAAGTCGCGGTATGTTACGAAATCTGCTTTTCAGTCTCGCCTCCAGTCAAATACACATATGCTAACGCCGTTTCCGATAGTCACGGAACTCGAGGCCATCCGCGCGCGCTTAGAAATCGTCAACAAAGGCTTGGAGTCCGAGCTCGACGATACCCGAAGTTGCTTCAAGTCAGTAAAGATGGAACTCGAGATGATGCAACAGAAACACACATACGAAGTCGACGATGTACGGCGAAAACTACGCAACGAAGTCGAAGACTTGGAGTCGCAGCACCGGAAGGACACCGACCGAATGCAGAGGGAACGAGATGAGGCAGAAAGGAAGATGCGCAGCGAATTTGACGAACGGATCGACAAGCTGCTGAAAGAACACAACGAGGAATTAGCTGGCTTACGGAAGAAGCTGGACGCCGACACCGAGTCGGAGCGAAGCAGGCGCGCACAAGAAGCACAAAAGATCGAGGAGGAGTATGGTTCAAAACTCCGAGCGGCTGCTATGGAAGCAGACACGAAACACCGCGAAGCGCAACTTGTCCAGGGCGAGCTCACCAACGTCAAATCCGAACTCGATCGTGAGAGGATGCTCAAGAATGGCCTCCAAGCACAACTTACAGAATCGACTACTAACAACCTCACATTGGATGCGGCAAACAAGGCAATGATGGAGAAGATTAAATTCCTTGAGTCAGACAGCCAGCAGCAAGCAAACTCCTTCAACGAACTTCACAAGCGAATGGACGATGCCATCGAGGCTGCGAAAAGAGCGGAGGACAAGCTTCGTCAAGAAGAAACACTACGACGGAAGCTTTTCAACCAAGTGCAGGAACTGAAGGGCAACATCAGAGTTATGTGTCGTGTGAGGCCAACCCATGACACAGAACGCAACCCGGCGCAAATCTCGTTTCCTGACACCGATACCGACAGCAAAGAAGTGGCAGTTCTCGGTCCAAGCAAGCAAAGTGCGACTGGCAAGGATATCACCTCCGCCTATGCCTACTCTTTCGATCGTGTGTTTGGTCCAGCCTCGCAGAACAGCGAAGTTTTTGAGGAGATCAGTCAGCTTGTGCAGAGCGCTCTTGATGGCTACAACGTCTGCATCTTCTGCTACGGTCAAACAGGAGCCGGAAAGACGTTCACCATGTCATCGGCTGACGGTATGATCCCTCGTGCAACCGCTCAGATCTGGAACGAAGCGCAGCGATTGCAAGAGAAGGGCTGGACATACAACATGGAAGGTTCTTTCCTAGAGGTCTACAACGAGACATACAACGACTTGCTTGGCCGCTCAGAGGATCTAGATAAGAAGAAGGTAGAGGTGCGACACGATGCGGCGAAAAAGCAAACTATCCTTGAGAACGCAGTCAGTGTCAAGCTTGACGGTCCAAAGAGTGTTGAGGAGATTTTGATGACTGCCGACAAGAACAGGACGGTAGCAGCTACCAAGGCCAACATGCGTTCCAGCCGAAGTCACTCTGTTTTCATCCTGAAACTCGTCGGAACGAACGAGATCACTGGTGAGAGGAGCGAAGGCACACTCAACTTGGTCGATCTTGCCGGATCTGAGCGACTTGAGCACTCCAAGGCTGAAGGTGCGCGTCTCAAGGAGACGCAAAATATCAACAAGAGTTTGAGCTGTTTGGGTGACGTTATCAACGCTCTCGGGTCAAAGGAGGGTACACACGTACCGTACAGGAACTCCAAGGTATGTTACACAGCGCTGATGTCGAGCGACTCACATACTAATTTCTCCATAGCTCACATACCTCCTCCAATACTCGCTCGGCGGCAACTCGAAAACGCTCATGTTCGTCATGGTCAGCCCGCTACAAGCACATCTCCAAGAGACGATTACGAGTCTCAAATTCGCAACGAAGGTACACAACACGCACATCGGAACAGCAAAGAAGCAGACCAAGACATCGTAGACATGGTGGTCAAGATGTGGATTGGCTTTGGGCCTTGTGGCTCGCGCATGCCGCAGAGTCGGGCGTTTGGTTGTTTTGGCTAGGAAACGAGGTGTTTGCGTATATATCCTCTTTTGTGTTCCCAAGCAACGGACCTTTGAAGTGTTCGAGGTCAGTATTGCTTTGCTTGGTATATATAGCCATGGGTGTTTCTGGAGTCCAGGTAATGTCTGGATGGGGCGCAAGTCGTGCGGGCGTGAAGCTAGCATGCTGGCGTTTTGGGGTATCTTTTGGTAACTATGTGTGGAATGATGAGTCAAGCCTTTTTACTTTTAACTCTCTTCTCGATTAGCAGTGTGCGTGAGCAGTATATAAACGCCCTTCGCAGTTGCCTTTCTTGATTTACATCACTCCTTGTTCACGATTTACCAAAATGCTGAGAGACTTGCAGCATGTGTTCTGTCTGAGTTCTGCCAAATTCACTGCATCCATTGCGTAGGGACATTTCCTTGCTCTCAGTCAACAGAAAGAGCTCGCGCGCGATTCAATGTCGTTCTCCCTCCGATTTCTCCAAAAAGATAAACCCGTTAGAGATGGCATCTAGTGCGAGCTACGAAACTGCGACACTCAGATCAGTCCTTTTCGAAATACATCGATACCATACATACCGAATTCGAGTTCACCAAAACAGCGGTCGACGCTCATCATGTGTTTCTGGAGTTGGCGATTTACTTCATCTTTTCCAAATTTTTCAAGTTCAAAAACATAAAGCGAAAGGGAGTATGTTTCTCCTCCTGCAGCACTGAGTACCGAAAAGGTGTTCTACGCTGCCGACAACGGTTCTCCTTTTTCGGCTAGTCCACCTGTACACATATAAAAGCAACACTTTTACACCTTTATCCTCTTTCCTCTTCCCCATACGCTCTTCTTCTCGAAAAGATGATTTCCAAAAATATGAGGACCAAGAGGGATAGTGCGGTCTTCATACCCAGGTCTTTCACTCAACAAAATATGAGTAATGGCAAGGCCTGACCTGCAGACTTACATACTACTTTGTTAAACCAAAATTATCCCTCCCACTCTCAAAACCTTCAATCCATCGTGTCATGTTGTCTTCTGTCTCCCTCGTCGCCAGCTACAATACTAGAGGCAATAACAAAGAGTATTCGCGACCACCTCATGGTTTCACGGCGTCTCTTGCCTTTCTTCGAGAAGACGACTACACCGTTCTATGTTTTGGTGACCGAAAAAAAGGAATACGTCAATTTTATGAGAGATTGAGGATCAAGATGACCAGCATGACCGCACATGAGTGGGGTCGAGCTCAACATGGTACTTTGCCTTTGCCTTGACAGCGACTTGATAGCTTTCTAGACAATTACATCCCGGAATCTCTGTGTGGATCCTTTACGTGTATTTCGAAAACGAAACTGAAGAATTCCATGGGGACGAAGAAGGCCGAAAGAAAGAAGCAAATGAAGTCGATGATTGTGTCGTGACAATGAACACCATTACCGAAAAAGAGTGCAGTTGCTGTTGCGATGCGACAGGGTATCAATATCATAATATCATCGCTACATACTCTCATATGACATGGCTGCCAGTGTTTCCCAACGACCCAAGGCAAGCCATCAGCCTTCCACACTCTCTCACCACCCTACTCCCTCCCAGGCGGTCTCCAATCAAAAAGATCACCCGCCTCTGTACTCCACGGCCCAACATCCTTATCTACAACCGGACTAGGTAGCTCGACCTCTCCCATAGCAGCCGACGGAACATTGGTATCCACCTGTAGACTCTGCGTCCTCTTGAACTTCCGCCTAGGATCAGTTCTTTTGATGAGCGCATCCAATCCACTGCTTTTCTTCTTCTTCGGTTCCTCAGTCACAGCAGTGACTGGTGGATCGTCTACGGTATCGGCTATGTTGCTGGATGTCTTGGGTAGATTGCGCTTCTCCCAGTCATCTGCTGTGCTGGGTATCGGTGCGTCGTTTTCGCTTCTTACGCGTCTGAAGTTTCTGCTGGGCGATTTGCCTGCACTGGTTATGTTTGAGACGTCTTCGATGGGGTCGGGGAGGGCTTTGGCTAGGTTGTGGGGATTCTGGAGGAGGGATGCGAGTTCCGTTGTGCTCATCATGGGACCTTTCTTGTTCGCTCGGAGAGGATGCGGCGGAAGAGGTACAGACTCATTTGGAGGGGCTGGAGCTGGTTCCTCCTGTACTAAGGGCGTTGCGGCTGCTTGCTTCTTGGATCGCTTCGGCGGCCGCTTGGGGAAGCCGCCGGTCGAAAGTGGGACTTTGCGAGGCGAAGTTGATGATGTGCGTGATTGTGTTTCAGAGGCTTCAGTGTGCGCTGGCGAGACGTCTCGCGATGTTGATATCGGTGGATCAAGGACGGGTACAGGTGGCGATGGGGCCTTGCGCGTTGATGTAGACTTATCCACAATATTGCTTCTTGGCTGTACTTTTCGGACAGTCTTGTCTCGTGGAGGAGATTTCGACTTTGTAGGTTGACGTTTAGATGACGATTCAATCGGTGTCTTGTCCGCCAGATTCTTGGTAGTGGTAGGCTTGGGTTCGGAGACGGTCTCTGAAGGAGAGAATACGGACTGAGGCTGAGGTGGAGACGAGGGAATTATTAGTTGCTGGTCCATGAGGCCATGTATAACTTCTGGATCTTCGAGAACACTCGGTGATGGGAGCGGGGGAGATCTGGAGACTCTGGCTCTCTTTGGAGCGAGACTGTCACCATCCTGTGCCTCCGTATTTCTTCGCTTGGCTTTAGCCACCCGTTTCGACGCTGCAGAGGCGACCTCTTGTGACAGATTACTGTTCTGTGATATTGCAGGTGATGGCTCCTTGCTCGTGACGCGTGATACCGGTCGAGCTCTGACATTGGAACTGGTCGCTCTGGCCTCACTAGCTGCCCTTATGGTCTTCTGAGGCAGCGACTGACACAGCAAGGTTCCGCGCTTTACACCCGCCGACAATCGAAGCGATTTCGCTTTGCGGTTAGGAGGAGGCGAAGGTGGTGGTGGAGTGGGGTCTTTGGGTGGCTGCTTTGTTGGTTGTAACGCGAAGTCGACGTTCGTCAGGCGATTTGAGGCGCTCACTGGAGGTGAAGATGGTGGCGCTCGTTGCTTTGGAGTCTCCAACGCTCGTACACTGGGTACTGGCACCTTGCCTTTCGGTATTCTTGGGGTTTGTACGGGTGGCTGCTGAGGTACAGCGGACTGTGGTGCTGGGGTATGAAGTGCGCTCGATCGTGCTCTTGCTCTGGCAAGTTTCGGGGGTGTGCTCGGGAGAGTGACGTCGGACAAGTCCGCCGGATGAGGATCGGACTCGGACTCTATCGTGATGACAGTCGCTGTAGGCGGTATGAACTTGGCAGGTTTCCGAGCATTCGCTGTGTCGGACGGTTGTACCTGTACAGCCGAATCTCTCTTCGCTATGGGGCTCTCTTCTTGGACTGGGCTAGATGCTCTCCAGTTTGTGCGTGGCTGGCTGGTCTTTTGTCTTTTCGGGGTGGGTTCCTCAACCAGCTCATTCTCCTTTTCCTTGCGAGCCTCGTACGGAGATTTCATGGGCTGAGCCTTTCCAATTGGCCCTTTCGGTGTTCCAAGCAGTGTATTGAGCGATTTGTGACGTAGTTGCGATGCGCTTCGCTGGGCATTGGTCGGTGCTACTGACGATGGTCTCTGGAACGGTTTCGGCTGGGAAGGAGCGGTCGGGCGGGGTGGCTGTTCTTTCGTTTTCTTCTCAAGTAGTTGTGTCAGGTCGGTATGTGTGATGCCCATGGCCTCGGCGACCTCTACTAGAGCGCCATTGTTCAGGCTCAGTTCGTCACCCTCCTGCAGCTCGTTGCTGTCTTTGTGATAGGTATCTCCCAGAAAGTTCCTTGCCTGGTCATATACCATGACCCGGCTGTTGAAGGTATGGAACTTGAGATAGCCATCCTGCCACCGCTTCTGCTTCCTCTTGACGTCTTGTGTATAGAGGCAACGAAATTCTGCCACGGGCGCGCTGTTCTGGGAGGCGGTGATCGCGGCTATGGCTGAGGCATGCTGGGTATTACGAAGAGGTGCCGTCATCGCGTGAGTATACGGTCGAGACGCGTCGGGACGTGCATGGGCGGCATAGGGCGGGGTCGTCGTGAGGGTGAAGGTCGAGAGATGTGACGGTGACGCGCCTCGGCGGAACAAACCGCGCCTGCTGTTCCGCGCGCGAGCACGTGGTTTAGCGTCTGCAGACTACGGCAGCGGCTACCCAGCCCTAAGACCCTAATGCCTTGAGCTTTCACCGGAAATACACCAGGGGTACGCGTTTTCCCAAGCTTTTCCACTTCAGTCATGACACGTCTTCGTACCCGGCGGCCCAACGCTGGGTGGCCTTGTACCATGATGCCGTCCGGTCCACAGCTGACGGTACCAAACGCGGGCATCAGGTGTAACCGCAATCTTGAATTCGCTTCCCGCGTCGAGGAGGGGACCTGGCAAATCACTCCTCCCCGCGAGGCTTTCACACTCCACTTTAGACAACTAATCGGTCTAAGCGGCCAGCGAATTGTCGCGACAACCTGGTGCGGGGCCCTTCGGTACCCCTGCTTACCCTCACCTCAATTAACACACAGCAGTGAGCACAGCCACCGCTAGTCGACGCGCAAGCATTACCTACTGCCCTCCGCCCATAACTCGTATTATTCTGTCCTTCTTACCTCAGGCCTGCGTCGCACACGATAGCTGCCATCACATCGCAAGATGCAGCGCATGCAGAGGATTACCGGGCGTTTCCTTACGAGGACGCCCAACGAGGCCGATGTCGAAGCCATGCTGAAGGACTTCACCGACTCGCAGGTTATGTTGGAAAAGGTACGTCCAGTGTGGCTTAACATCTCACATTGCTCGGTCCTATGAATTAGTGGGGCCAGCCATCCAAACCCATCATATCCAGTCCCAACCACCCACGTCAATCGACTGCTATGCATGCTATGTGTGGCACACGAGTCGAGTATACACGTTGGCATTGAATCTCCAACTAACCCCCCTCTCAGCTCGAAGCGTCAGCGAAGCAATGGCGGGACGCGTGGACCAACATCCTCAACCACCAACTCACGTCGGTCGAGCTCATATACGCCATCTTCAAACCGCTCGGCGGCGAAGGCTCCAACACCACCCATGCACATGCCGAAACCCCACCCGCCGTCCTGGAGCGTGTCCATGGCCTACACGAGGCCTTTTCCGAACTCAAGACCGACATGATGGAGGAAGTCAAGGACATTGACAGGAAATTGGTCATCCCAGCGAAGCTGGCTCGCGATGCCTTGAAGCCCATGGAGAAGGCTATAAAGAAGCGAGAGGATGCAAAGGTCAGTCAGCCTATAGACCACACTGTGAGCCATGCTGACAACGCCATTGCAGGTCGACTACGAGCGCTACAAAAGCCGCTGCGAGACCCTTCAGGCCAAGAAGACGCGCTCGGAACGCGAGAACAGCGCTCTTGCCAAACACGAAGTTGATCTCGAGCGCTCCACACACGCATACCAACTCGCCGACGAGAACCTCCGAGACCGCCTGCCACGCCTGAATGCCGCAACCTTCTCCATTCTACCACATCTCCTCGCGAACCAGATCGTGCTGCAAAACAACCTGATTGGAAACTTGTACACTGTACTACACCAGTACTCACACGAGCAAGGATACCCCGATCCACCACCAGAGCCAGAGGAAGTTATCCCACTATGGGACTCCAACTTTACACCACTGCGCCAGGAAATGGAAACCAGCCTGGGCCTGCTGAAGACGGGCAAGGCGGTCCATTTGCCAATGAGACTACCAGATAAGGGAGAGACGTTGACAGGCTTGGGCATTAGGAACAAGGTCATGCCTGGTCGGAGAGTCAGCAGCAGCGATAGTGTGCCCACCATCACAGGAGGCGGAAGACCCCCGCGACCATCCCAGACCTTGTCATCGACCTCCGAGAATGGCCCGCCCATAAGCCTCTCTAATAAGCCCTCATACAGCTCTCTCAGCGCCTCAAAGCCCAAGATCGGCGGTTCACCGCATCTGAGCGCTGGGCAGGGTATGTATGATCGCCGTCTCTCGTCTACATCACAGGCTTCCTCTTACTCGAATGGAACCAACGGTGATTCTTACTTCAACAAGATACCCTCTGCCTCGAACGGGTCAACGCCAACCGGCTATCCCTCGTCGCCTAATCCAGCCGCAGGGAAAAAGAAGCCGCCCCCACCGCCACCAAAGAAGATATCATCTTTCCAGTACGAGTACGTGACAGCCATGTATGATTTCGACAGTCTCACGGACGGCGATTTGAACTTCAGAGAAGGCGACCGAATTCGCGTGATCAAGAAGACGCAAAGCTCGCAGGATTGGTGGCAGGGAGAATTTAATGGAAAGCAGGGCAGCTTTCCTGCAAACTACTGCAAATGATTCGTTCGATACGAGGAGATGAAGGGGCTTAAATGATATCCAAAACTGCATTAGAAGGTGGCGTTACGGTAATTGGGCACTCTTGATGGCACGGCGAGCAGACACAGAACAATTAGGAAGAAACTTAGGCAATTCAAATTGAGTAGCTTTTGTGTTTCTGTACAAACTGGGGTTGCGTTCTGACTCTAACAACTGGAGTATGGTAATGTGTAATGCTCCTCATGCTATACTCTGATTCGTGACATGACGAGGAACATTGAATTGAGTAAGGTTGACTACCAAACCGCACCTTTCCTCATGGTGGTGGCTCGGTACCTGTTCGCTACTATTAATAGTGCTCACGAAGCCGCTCACCAATGGAACCCCCATGGCACATCTGCGTCCGTGAGCCAAACTTCAGCTCGAGGCAGTCTAGCCCCCGCCTTCAGCCCCCACATTGCTGTCCGTAGCTCCCGCGCGCCGTCGAGAAGGCGCAGTTGAAGCCTCCCTGCGTCATGAGGTGCCTGCCTGACGCGCGCAGGTGTGCCTGCATCTATGAGCCTCGTGCGACAGCCGCAGCAGGCTCGTCGGCGTCAAGCGTCATATAGAGCACCGCGCCGCACTTCACTCTTATCATAACCCACTATCCTATCGCTAATGGACAGTATGGCTGATAAGATCACGATACAGACGGTAGGTGTAGCCTGACAGCATTGGTATGCGCTGAACGAATGCTTACAAGTACCAGACCAGCGCTTTGACACCGCCCTTCTCTCCCCGTCCCATCCCACCCCCAACCGCCACCGCTGCCACCCTCAGTAGTCCCACAACATCGCCATCCGAACCCGCGCATCAGAATGGGCACATCGTTACCAGCCAGGATCGGACCACGACGGGCCCACAACCGCGTGAGCCCGTGCTCGACTCGGTCATAGCAATACCGCTCACAGCAGAAGAGTCCCTTCCTACTATAAGCGGCAAAAATAACGAAGCATACCTCGCCAACGACGACCCCCGTCAGTTCCTCTTATACGACCTCGATCTCTCTCGCTTGAACCGCATACATGGACACCTATGGATGGCAGGGCGTCCCATGCGCGCCAGGCCATTGCATAGATACACGATGCTGGGCATGGAAGTGCTAGGCACACAACAAATGGATTTACATCTGCTGAAGTACTCGACCAAGCTTATAGTCAAGCCGTTGCCGGAATGGATGCTCAGCTATGAGTTCTGGCAAGAGTATATCTGCAAGCCTGCGGATGCGGATCTTGGTGACGAGACAGCAAAAGGCCTGTGGGAGAGTGCCGCGGGGTTTCTGGTGAGCTATGTGTGGCTTATCACTACACCGTTGGACTTGAAGATCGCGCACGAGAACACGCTTCTACCGAGCTTTGTCACCTGGCACTGGTGGAAAGCTTTCGTGAAAGATTTCATGGGCCATGTGGACATCAACACGCTACAGAAAGTCAACAAACGCTACCATTTCGGTGATCTCAGGCTGGGGAGGATCAACAGCATTTATCGGACACGATTTGCGCATACGCATTTCGTGAGAGGGTATCTGTGAGTCAATCTTTTGTCCATTGAAAGCAAACGCTGGGGTAGATATGTCTGCTAACACACCTCACACAGCTACGGATACAATCGCTACGTGATCTTCTTCCAGCGAAACTTCTCCTGGATCCTCATCGTGTTCGTGTTCTTTAGTCTGGTTCTATCAGCCATGCAAGTTGGAGTGGGTCTGGAGGAACTCAAAGATAATCACCATTTCCTTGATGCCACTTATTACTTCGTTGTTTTCAGCATGGTACGTACTCGCATCGCACGAGATGAAACGTTGTGGTGGCTGACTCTCTTCAGATATCCGTGGTCGTCGTACTGGCATTCGTTACGATCGTCTTTATCGGCATCTTTCTCTTCAACATGTACAAGGCTATCACGCATGCGGGGAGTACACAGAAGTGGAGACTTAAGATGTTTCGGAGGAATCAGGAGGAGGGTAAGGATGCTTGATATACGTCGCGATGAGATTTCCATGATTGACGGCGTTCATTTCTTGATACCCAATACTTATTAAATCAGTATTTCAATCCAATCCAACAATCCATACCAAAATTCACCATTCTAACTCTCCTCATCCCGTTCCTTCTCCTTCTCCAGAGCCACAGGATCCACTTCCTGCTTCCGCTTCGCAATCCGGAACATACCACCATGATACCACAACGCCAACACTGCAGCCATCGCCGACAAAGCCGACGGCACAACCATCGCCACTTTCAAAACCACACTATACTGCCCCTCAGGCGCGCTCACCACTTTACTAACTGCCATACCGACTCCCCCGAGACTGTTCACGAACGCGGGAAAGAAAACCCAGTTTATCAACCACTGAACCTTCCTTTGGTATTTCCACCAAAGATACAACCAGCCTAGTAGACCGACGCAGCAGGCTAGGGCACAGAAATAGAACGAATCGGAGACGTGTGTAGCTGTTGGGGGTGGGTCATCATACACTTCAGGACAGTCCCAGTATTCCTCATATTCTATGCATCCGGCGTATTCGTCGATGGTGTTTAGCTGTGGGAAGAACGATGGGAGGAGGATGTAGCCGAGGAGTGTGCACCAGGAGAAGATCTGCACGAGGAGTCTGTCGGTGTAGGAAACGCTGTCGTTGTAGGAGGCGGGTTTCAAGAAGGATCGCAGGCTAAAGGGCATGGTGTTGTTGCGTCGGTTTCGCTAGTGTGATCTACGCGTTGGGTTTTCGCGTTTCGTGCTGGTAAAACAGGATGCAGGCCATCTAACTAAGGGCGCGCTAAGACATAGCATGCTAAGGCATCTATACGCAGTTAATGCGCACACTAAAGTAGCGCCTTAGTAAATTAATTATAAATTATTCTTAAAATAATTCTACTTAAATAATAATAATATAACTTTACTAAACTTCTCTACTAAACTACGCTACTTATAATAGCTTACTAAATTTAGAGTATTCTCTAAGAAAATATATAAACTATTTCTAGATTAATTTATAAATAATTTTAATAAATTTAGTCTACTTATAAGTAATTTCTTTAGCTTAACTAATATCTATTTAAGTACTTATCTTTTACTACTAATATATAAAATAAGCTAATTATTTATATAGATTAGCTATACTACTATATTAGAATTTAAAGTAGAATTCTTTATAGAGTATAAACTATTTCTAGATTATTTTTTAATTATTTTTAATATTTCTTCTAGTAAAAGTATACTAGTTATACTATACTTAGAAACTACTTACGCTAAGCTTACTAGCTAAGAATAGTATTTACTAGATAAGTTAGAAATTCTACTAATACTTTAATCTAAGCTAAAATAAGTAAGTTTATTTAAATTACTTCTTAATTAATTCTTAATTAATTTAACCTAGGTTTCTATATTTAGACTATAGCTACTTATAATACTATTACTAACTTTTCTACTATCTTCTCTACTAACTCTTCTACCTCTTCTACTAACTTAGCTTAAGTAAAATCTAATAATAAGTTTAAGTTAGATTATTTATTAAGTAATTTAAACTATAAGTTAGATTAATTAGTAAATAATTTAGACTATAATAATTTTAAGAACTCTACTACTATACTAGATAATAAGAAAGAGAAAAAAGAGTAGAAAGACTAGAAACACTTTCTCTAGAATATTATCTAAGTTAATAATTTAGAGAGAGAATAGGTAAATTATTTCTTAAATATTTCTAAATTATTTCTAACTTTTATAGCTTAACTTTACTACTATAACTAATATAGTTAGAGACTATTATAATAATTAGGCTAAAGATAACTTTCTCTACTAGGCGTATAATATTAATAGCCTAGATATAGACTTTATTTATAGTAAGTTTTATTTAAATTATTTCTAGAATAATTTAGAATTATTTCTAATAGATTTAGACTATACTTTCTTTTAAAATAAAGAAAATAAGTATAAATCTTACTAGTTCTTCTTAGACTTTTTTTCTAAGCGTGTACTTACTTTCTCTAAGAGTAGTAGTTCTAGTAAGTAGTTAAGTACTATTTCTAAGTAAATTATTTCTAGAATAGTTTAGAATTAATTTAGTATAAAAAGATATATATTAGAAATAAAATAAATAAATATTATATAACTCTCTCTCTACTATATACTTTATAAATAAGTACTATTATTATATTATTAATAAGAATAATATACTATATCTTACTTAGTAGAATATACTAAGTAAAATATAGTTAATTATAAAGTATTTTTTATTTAAGTTTATAAACTTTACTTAGCTACTACTATTAAAAGATTTAAGTAATAGTTAAAAACTTATAAGTATATTATACTTTATTAAGATTTATTTATAATTATACTATTTTATTAGTAAACTAATAATTTTATAGCTTATAATTAAGTTTTAAAAGAAAAAAGTTTAGTACTAGTATACTAAAGAATATAAAACTAAAGATTATAGTACTTTAAAAGTAAATAAACTAAAACTTAAAGTTTTAGTACTATTATTTCTAAAGTAGTTAAAGCTTTTAAATCTTTTAGACTAGCTAAAAAGCTATTTTAATACTAAAGTACTTTATAATAGAATTTAAAATTAATCTTTAAAAAAACTATAAAATAATAATATATATATATATAAGCTTTAAACTATTATAGTAATATATTCTAAAAACTAATAGTTAGAATATATATACTAAGAATTTAGAAAAAGTATACTATTTATACTTTTAAAATTTCTATAATAATTAGAACTCTAAAGATATTTTAAAAATACTAATAGTAGTTTAGAGCTAATACTTAAAGCTATACTATTTAAATAATATTTTTATAAAGTTCTAAAATAACTATAAGTAAATTAAAAATATTTTTTATTACTTCTATATATTTTAATTATCTAAACTTTATAAGACTTTTATAATAGAATCTAAGAATAAAAAAGTTTAGCTAGATTTATATAAAAAAGAAAAAGAAAGCTAATAAAAACTAGTACTAGATAGTACTAGCTTATAGAGTAGCTCTTTTATAAGCTAGATCTTAATATTATTAGTTATTTAGTAGCTAGAAGTTTATATATTACTAAAGTTCTAAAGAAGTATATTCTTAATATACTAATAATTAAGTACTTTCTTAAAAGTAGAGATACTATCTATATCTACTTTACTATTATAGTATAGTAATTAGTTACTTAATTAGATTATATACTTAAAAGAAGAGTAAGTACTCTAGTAGCTTATTAAGATAGAAAAAAGCTTTTTTAAATAAAAATACTATTTTATTACTTATTACTACTTACTTTACTTTTAGATTCTACTAATTAGATATTAGATATATTCTATCTCTATATATAATATTATTATACTATACTTTATATATACTTAGAATAGAAGTTAAGCTATATCTAAGTATAAATATAGAAAGCTATATTTAGTAGTAGTAGACTATACTATAAAGAATTTTTAAAAAAAGGTAATAAGAAGTAAAATTATAATTAAAATATTTTTATATATTATCTCTAGTATATAAATACTATTATATAGATAGTAGTAATAATAAAGTTTTATTAAATCTACTACTATATTATAGTAAATATAAGGTATTTAGAAAATATATCTATATTAAGATTACTATATAGAGTTACTAAACTATCTTTTATTACTCTACTTTATATTAATATTCTACTATAATAAAAAAGTTCTATTAAAGCTAGTAAAGATGTAATATTATAAAACGTACCTCTAGATACTTTAGTAGAGTATTATACGTAATTATACTAGTATAAATTAAGATAAGCTTTTAAAAGCTTTACTACTTAAAAAAGCTTTCTAAGTAAGCTTATAATATAATAATTTATCTTCTATTTATTTCTATGCTTCTAGACGTAATAAGTTCTATAAGTAGTATTTATATTAAACTATTACTATTACTCTATTACGTATACTAGTATAGAAATATAAGTATAATATAGTAAAGTAATATAGTATATAATTATAATATAGATATATTCTCTAAATATCTTATTTTATAGTAGGTAGTAGTATATATTCTTTTAAAGATTCTAGTAATTAAAACTAAACTATAAGGCCTAAGGCTTAATAGAGCTTAATAGAATATACTAGAGCTTATTAGACTTAGATCTTACTATCTATATATATATTATCTTAGACTAAGAATACTATCTTAGTTATTCTTACCTTTTTAGATTATATTAGTCTAGTAGTCTAAGACTATATTTTTATATAAACTATAGAGTTTAAGACTTCTAAGCTCTATAGACTTAGATTCTATAGAGAAAAAGAGATAAAAAAGTATATATTCTATATACTCTTAGACTATTACTATATATTATCTTAGCTATTATAAAAGTTTTATATATATTAATACTATATCTAGAATAATAAAAATAAATAGAAAATAAATTATTATATTATAATCTTTCTTAAAAAGCTTTCTTAAGTAGTAAAGTGTATAAAATTTTATTTTAATCTATACTAGTAAGTTATATATAGTACTTTCTAAGAGTACTTTAAGAATATATTCTATATTATAAACTCTAGTAAGATCTACTAAGCTTTATTAAACTTTAGATCTTATACTTTCTTAGAAAAGAATACTACTTTAATTACTTATTAATATCTACTTTACTATTATATTCTACTAGTTCTAGATTTAATACTTTATAATTTTATTTAGTATAAATATAATAAGTATTTACTTATATAAATCTTTTTCTATTCTATATTATATATCTAAATTAGAATTAAAACTATAAGTAGAACTACTTTACTTATTATTAAAAATTTAATTTTATTACTATAAGCTAGATATTAGTATATAAGTAGCTAGGTTTATATTTTTATTTAGTAATTCTAACTATTAGTTTACGTATAGTACTAAAGTAGACTTTAGTAAAGATTTTACTATTTTATATAGCTTAAAGTCTAGTTATAAGTAATTATAATATAACTATATTATAACTATATATCTAACTTAGACTAATACTT